AATTGAACAGAGCTAGTAATAATACAGACCATTATAGGAAGGACATTTCTGAGGTTCAGAATTTGTGCCAATCAAAAAAAGCAGTTATTAAACGCAGGAAAAATGAATTTATTCTATAACGTATTCATCTCCACACAGCTTTATGGCTTTAAGTGTCCCTATGGTATCTTAAACACTGACTCAAATCCTTACATTATCAGAAGTTAAAATGTCAAAAATGTTGCAGTGCCTCAAACATTAAATAACAGGTCTTCTCAAAATTCTTGGTTGATCTGAAAGACAGCTACTAGACAATGCAAACATAATATTTTTTTCTATAAAAGCAGTATCACAGAGTGGCTGCAGAAAACTTTTGACATATTCTTACATCGTCATACAGCACCAGAAATACATTGTTAATCTTGAGCTGCACCAACTCTGTCCTGAATGTCACATTTATTGCAGATGGAATGAACCCCAGAAATACATGAAGCTCATGTTGCAGATTTCATAGTAAAAAAGGATTTGACAGATGAAAATTAACTATAATATAACCCTTAACCTCAATTGCACTCTTTACTGAAAATCTTCACTCTTTTACTGAATAGATATTGCGATCAAGCTCATGGTAATGCTTCTTCATTTAGATCCCCATTCTGCACAGAATTAGAAACACGTCAATGAACCCCAGAGCAATAAATATCACATTCCAGCTCATTTTAAAGCAGGCTGTAACCTGAGGATCAGGTAGAAAAGTGCAGGAGCTGAAGTCTGGAATTCCTTTTGGAGAAAGGCCGCCCTCAGTACGTCTCACCGGCTCCTATCAAATGTTTGCCTCGACTGGTCACTTGGGTGGTAAAAACACAAGACGGTAAGAGAGTCTGTCAACAGGAAAAGGCCACTGAGCTCGACATGCTCATACAGTATTACTGCTCGGACTTGTGTTTCAGTCTCTCAAGAAGTAAACTTCTGTAATGGTCCTCTGGCCTTCCTCTGTATGAGCCACAAGCACATACAGATCTAGAATGAAGGTAGAGCTATGGAGGTTCAACATCAAACAATCTAACTAACCTAACTGGCACCTTCAATAATAGGGCATATAAAATACTTATAGTTCAGCTGGGGAGCTGCGTCAGCATGCGTAGGCTGCAAAGGAACAAGTAATAGGTTTATTCCATTCCACAGCTGAAACGTTGTGTTTCCTTTCTTCTCCTTTCAGCATGGAATGAACCTATTACTTGTTCCTTTGTAAAATACTAATATGTATCCACTTTTCTCAGGTTTCTAACACGTGACCAACCATCACGCATGACAGTGACTGCGAAGGTTTAAGGGAGGCTCCTGGGAATCACAGCTTCCTGTCCAAACACTTTGACCTTCAAAGCATTCTTTAGGGAAGAGATGCACACCATGCAGAAACTCTTCTGTATAAGACCGTTTACCTTGAGAGACTCACCGATCGGTGACGGGACAAAGAAGAATTTTTCACACCAGAGCCAGGCTGCAGGATAGTTAACAACCGCAGGGAAGGGGGCTCTTTGTTAGGAGCCAGTTACTGCATACTGCTGCGCCTGGTACTGTCCTAAACTCAGCGAGTTTCATTATAGAAGCCCTGAAGCGCCACAGACACCCGCGCAGGTGAAAATGAAGAAACAGAAAAGTCCAACAGAATTCCTACAGAAAACATCCTGCTGAACATGTGTGAAAGATGCTGTGTGAGTGTGAGCCATGCTGCATTCGTGTCAAGCTATCATGTGTGGTTAACATTTTACTATCATAGGCGCCAGAGTGTGCCGAGAAGAAAAGGGTTGGACGAGAGAAAAAATAATGGCTAGGAATCGTTCATGAAGAACACAGGAGGAATAAATGTCAACCAGACAGGCAATTACATAAGTCAATTAAAATCACAGAAATATTCTATTTCCTTCTTCTCTACCACTATATCACACCATAACACGCAGTACCGATGACCTAACCAATTAATAAGTACAAAACTCTAATGAGACATCCAGCCAAGTGTACAATGACTTTCAAACAAGGGTTAGAGCATTAACCAGAATTATGAAGTGAAACAAGTGTTGTGTAGTGAGCACGTACAGTACATACAGTATGCTGGCCCATACGGTTGCAGTTTTTGTGTTTTGGGACAGATTTTAGCCCATTTCATGTATTTCATCAGACAGTTATCATTTTTTTAAACTCGGATAAGTTATTTCAGATGCATGACTCTCTGTGTTGAAGAAAAAAGCACGACCCAAATATATCCAAGGATCACATAAGCTTGTTGCAATGGAGAAGGAGAAAACAGAAGGGTTAGAAAGTGTCACAGGGTGAAGAAATCAATAAAGCCAAAAGAACACGGAAGAGTTTGTTAATATTTTACCACATGGCACCACACGCTGGACAACAACGATTTTGTTTTGGTTTTTTTTACAAAAATAAAACTAAAACAAAGTATACATGAGTCAGAGAGGTAATCCTGGCTTCCGAACAAAAGACAAAAAAGACAGGATAAAAATATGAAACCAATGCATGTAAAATGAAGTCAGAAACCCGTCTCCAAATAAATACAATAAAAAGGGAGACATATTCCTCTGCTACATGCTCGAAGTGTTTGTTCGCCTTTTCTTGTTATTTTGCTTAAAAGTCGGGTTCAGACGCCAAGATTAGCTACTCTCGTCTGCCTCCAGAAGCTCATCGAGAAACTCCAACACCTCCATCTAGAATGGGGAAAAGCACAAACAAACAAAAATGAAACGTTTTCTCATGCATCCAGCTAGCAAAACAAAGCTAAGCATCAAACAGATGCAACTACGCATCTTCAAATCCCACACCCAAGGATCTGCTTTGAGTTCCACCTTCTCCGTACTGATTTTCAGGACCTCTCTTTCTCTGTAATTCACTTGAAATAATTGGACCCCTAAATTCACTGCTACTAAAGCTTTCATTATTGTTTTAGAATACAATCTATCCTGGACACTGGCTGCAAATGTCACATCTAAACATGTGCTTTCTTCATTCACCGATCTGTAAATGTGCAATCACACTGTGTAAAAGGCATTGATACCTGGTTATATGTATCACAAGTACAGCTACAGTTATTTTACTGTTTAAGAAATGTAGAGTTATTTTTATTTTGACACTGATAGATTTAAATACTAATAGACTAACAGATAGATATCTTTCAGTGCTATGACAGAAATTTTAGTGTAGATTATGGAAATGCTACATAATTCTTCAAGTGAGTATCATGCCAGCAGGGAATTTACTGCTCAAAACCATTACTAAAAGTGCCTTTGATAAGATAAGATATCACTGACATTTAACAGTGACATGGTTGAACAAAGAAAAGAACTGGTTAAGTTCTTTAACAGTAAATTGCTCTCTCATACAATCATCCCCTTTTAGTGTAATTTCAGAAAAAAAAGTCTGTTCATTTTTTACAAAAACATTACATTGTCTCATACCATATTTGTATCTATAGCCAGCCCCATTCAGCGTAATACATTTTGGATACAAAGCACAATAATCTGAGACACAAAACAGAAAGTTTCATCATGGGAAAACAGTCACAGAATTTGTTATCTCTACTAAATCTCACTGTAACTACATCCAGCCCAAACTCTCGTCATATGTAAGTTCAGTCTGCCATTAAATAAACTTAATGCTCCACTTCCTGAAATTAAAGCACAGGCAATGAGCCAGATTTCAAATCAATTCGAACTGAAACATTCCCACCACAAAGATCTACAAAGTAAAACTACTACATTAATCTGAGAGGCCTGAATCGGTAGACAGGTTATCAATTTGTATTCAGCATTACTTTAAGCAGAAAAAACTATTCACGTAAGAACTTAAGAATTTATTTAATGTATAGTCTTTTGCTAAAAGATACCACTGCTTATTCTTTCCCTTGTTTTGATAGTTTCAAACTTACCAAATAACTTTGTGGTACCTTCAGAAAAATATGCAACTCAGTACAGAAACATTGCAGCAGGGCACTTTTGTAGATTCTATAATGTTCCTTAAAATATTATGACAACTAACATACTGTATAATATTTACACAATGCTGCTGCAGTCAAACTGTAATTTTAGAGCTTCACGACTTATTAATAATGTTCATAAAAAATACCTAAATAATTCTAAAAGATTTTGCATCAAACCCCTTGAAGTGTTTGGAATTCGACAACAATACTACGTGTCTCAACTAAAACATTTAGTTCCAGCAAATTGCATCCAAAAAACACTGCAAAAATGATTTGTCTAACATGACTAAACCTGCCACATTTAGAAATTACTACTACAATAACTTTTCTAAGATGGTTTATTTACCATTAAAATGGTCATAAAAGCACTTGATCATAGCACAATACAAAACATGTAACCTTTTCCCCCACTGCTTAAAACAACAAACCTCAGGCTGGCGATTCTAAAGCTGACGACACTGAAATTCACTTTGATGCAAAGTCTGACACCAAACAGCTCTGCTGTAACTCTCAGTGTAGAATTTAAAATGGAAGCAATGGTGTTTTATTATAATAGAATATGAAAATGCTAGTGTGTGATGTCACAGGGGGTGAGCCCATAAAATAATTGTGGGAGGGCCAGTAATCCTCACGTTCTGCCTCTTACTGGGCTTACCGAAGCTTCTTACCGAGTCTGACCCTTTTTCTCTTGTGAGGAACATTGGTGCGCTTTCTAATCCCAGTCCTCGTTTAGAATCTCAGAGTGAAAAAAGATTTGAATACCCGTTTCCCATTCACGTCATAAAGCGTGTTTGCGTTAGATCTTGTCTCACATACTTTTACATGCCTTTGTATTTTCCAGCACTGATTAAAGCAACTCCCTTTCAGTCCCTGTACAAAATTAATTAAGGACATAAAAAAACTGTCTGACTCCAAGTTTCCAGTTGTGTTCCTGTTATAGCTTTGCTTGCATCTCTGGTCAGCACTGGTGCAGTATCTGTCAGCACCCGTGTCTTCTGAAAATGCGCTCTAAAAGTTTGAAAGCAAAACTTCCATACAATGGGTTTCGCATGCCAGTGGTTCACGCCAGCTAGAATGTATTTTAAGTCAGCCCAAATCATTTTCCTGCAGTTTGATGTAAACAGTTTAAATAAATATCAGCATAGGGCAATGCGTTGCCAGAGATGAAAATGACCGGGTTTCGGCCCTGAATGTTGTAGCACCTCCGGTAGCGACAGATCCCTGAGGCAGCTCCTTAGCTTCCAGGTTATGAAGCAGGGCAATAATGAAAGGTTTCGCCTCGTCAATAGAGGAGCAAAAGGTTAACGGGTGGAGACCGGCGTGGGAAATTACCCCTGGTTTGCTAAGAAAAACAAGTCAGGATCTGTTTTTGTTCCTAGACAAAGAAAAAATGTCCAATTGAGGAAACAATTAGTTTAAATCGAGCAACTGATCTGATGGAAACCAAATGACTGGTGCTTGAGAGTCCCGACTTAGAATATTTCCTTTTTTTAAAATACAAAGCCGATCATTTTATGGTATTTTCTCCTCTCCTGCCTTCATCTGAGCGAAGCTGTCCCCAGGTAACCTCAACACGGCAGACGAGCTAATTAACGTGTCACTAGGTGGAAAAGGGCAGGATGAATAAGTGCAATTAATAAGAGTGTAATCAAGACTGTAATTAACAAGGTAGTGTGACTGTTCCATTCCCTTCGCCTGGAATGCAGGACTGTAACACAAAGCGCCTCTCAGCACTGAGCTCAGCAAATAGTTTCCTCATGATAACACACACACAGCCTTTCTCTGTCTCGGCGACGTGGAGAGGGGCTGCAATTAACAAGGCACATGTAACCCGATTAAAACAGGGCTTGCAAATGCTCTTCGGGTTTCCCGTAAAAGGCTCCCGTAAGTGGAGGTGAAAGACCATCCATGTGCTGACATGCCCCAGTGTGAAACGACAACCATTATCCTAATTCTGCGCCCCTCCTGCAGTCCAAACCACTTTCTGACTCGGTGGCTGCCACTGCTCAGAGAGTGACAGAGGGAGTGAATTTTGTATATCCCATTGCTCTGAGGGCTATAAGAGAGGAAATGATTTGATCAGGGAAAGGAAGATCTATAGTACTTAATTGGGATTTAATCAGCATTTACAAGGTTGGTATTTGATTGACAGGATACATTGCAGTCAACAGAAAGACAATGTGGAGTAGGAGACACAGAAGGCTCAGCAGACAACATTTTCCAAAACCCAATTAAGGGGCAGAGCTTAGTCACGATTTTCATAAATCTCATACTTTGTAGATAATGGGGGCTCTCCATGAAAATACATTCATATCAGAATCAGCTATTAACAGTGCAAAGCAAATTTCTTTTTTAAAGACTCACACAGGATGTTGGCGTAACACTTCAGCCTATCACAAAACTCCCAATAAGTAATTTTCTGTTCTGTATTTATAATTAATTAAGGAGGATCTGTAAAATTCTGCTCTCACTGTGAAAGTATAGAGTTCTGGGTGTCGATCAATGGCAAAAAATCCCAATTAGATTCATTCCATATTGTAACAATAAAATGTGCTGAGATCCAAGCAGGGTGAATCCTTTCAATAGCCACTGTACTGTCACCTTCAGAGCCACTGCTCTCAAAGTGGCACGTAACACTTGTGTCCTCTTCCTGGCAGTGATCCCACTAGATCAGTAATCTTACATGTTGTAATAGCTGGCCCTACAGTGGAATGTGGAAGAATTCATTTATTTAAGACAAAGCTTGCTTTGCTTTGTGTGCTCATATTATGACAATGGTATAACATTTTTAGAATTTTCTTAAGCAAGATAATGTCTAATCTGTAAATCCTTCCATGATTGTGTTCCTATTTCAAATCTAAAGGATACTGTACATACATATGTACACTGCTATGTAACCCTCAGTTTCTGAGTTTGTTTGGAAAACCCATTAAAATTGCTTTGAAAAAAAGTGTTAACATACGTACTAGCTGCTGCTACATTTTGAGAAAAACTATCCTAAACTTTAGTATTATTTGAAAGAAAAAGACTGGATGTACAGGAAATCATATTTAAGACGTGAGATTGATATCACTATTTACAACATATCATAAAAGAGAAGACAGCGATTTGTTTAGCAAGGCAAAGATATTACAGAAACTAGAAATAAAAGTGAAGGAAAAAGTAATAACAAGATCCTCTCCTACAGGTCCTCTGCACAGTGTTTTGAACATGTCTCAGGTCTATTCAGAAATGGTTTACCTCAGTCCTTTATCATGCATACATGTGCATCGTGGTTGGAAAATGGCTGTGAGACTCTGCAGGAAGCCAGACTACTGCAGTGTCGTGTGAATGCGTGTAGTTGGGGGGTTCCTGCATTCAACCCAGATGGAGAAACCATTTCAACATTTTACTCCAAGAAAAGAGTTAACAGTTGCATTCCCCGAGACAGTGGTACAGTGCTGAGAAAACTTATACAGGACAGGGCTTGTTCACATTCAGTCCTTGTTTACTTGTTAATCAGTTATTTACCCCCTGGTCTACTTACCTCCTTAAATAAAACGTAGTGTAGGCCTAGTGTATTACTTCACATGAACTGAGTCTTAATTCCTTTTTTCTCCCTCATACACCATTGCAACCCATCACACACTGAACTCATAAATATAAACCCTTTTGATTATTAAAGAAAAGACTGGTTTTGATTTAAATGGGGGTATCAAGATAAGAAATCATAGTTCACACCATTATGCCGGGCAGTTCACCCCTTTGTTCCTAATCTCCAGCAATTTAAAGAACACGATCATGTCATATTAACGTTACGTTCATAGATTTTCAGCTTGCTAAGTGTATCTTCATTCACCAAGGCTCTCGTGCACAAATAAAAACTATTATTATTACCATTATTATTACTATTATTATTATTATTATTATTATTATTATTATTATTATTATTATTATTACTGCTGCTGGATGTTTTCACACCCTTCTCTGTATCTCAAACAATGAAGCACAAAAGTTTTGCATCAAGTTCCATTTCACACCATCTTGTAAAATCCAGTTCAATATTTCTGCTCTTGCAACACCTGAGTAAAAAGCAAGTCCTCTGCTGAGCAGACCCCTGGAGCCTCAGCAGTGGATATTTAATTCTCTGTAACCTTTAGTCGCTGATTATCCTCCATAACCGAGGAAAAGATGCGGCCAGATCAACCTCCATTATTCTGGAACTGAATGCAAACTGAATCCATCTGATGGAACAGCCAACTAGCGAAACTAAACGTGGGAGGCTGAACTAGTCGCGTTTTAATGCTCAAATAATCTTAAAAGCTCGAAGCAAGCAGTATCTTATCTTCATTACAGTGCAAAATAAGAAGAAACAATACAATCTGAAAATAAAAATCACCGAAATTACAAGCAGTTTGTTTTTACATGACACTGTACAACTGTAAAAGCTGGCTACAGCACTAAAACCTTACTCTTAAGACACAAATACTGTATTTAGATTCGCAACGAAAAGCACGTTATAGTGAGTGCGGAGTGCCACCTAGTGGTGTGTTTTAATACAGCACCTACTTCTCAACGGTTGATGACTTGGCATCCGACATATCCCGAATGAGACATGTAAACTCAAGAGATGCGAGTTCTTTGAACTACATTTACAAAAACCGAAAACGCACGATTTTCTTTTAGAAAAAGTTCTAATGTGAGAGGAAGCATGCAAGCCGACGGCGAGGTGTAAGTGATCAAATATATTTTCACGCCTCAAAAGGAGGAATCTGAAGGCCTTAAGCAATTAAGGTTTTTATAGGACCATGTGCTGCAAACACCAAATACCTGGTCACGCATGCAAATGATGCAGAAAAAAACACAAATAATGAGGGTAATGCTACATCTTCAGAAAGACCTTCTAACTATACGACCTACAAGAGCCTGATCTCAGAAACTGAAGCCGGGTCTGTTTAGTACTGGGACGAAGACCTCAGAGCAAACACAACAGGTCCTGTTGCAAGTGGTACCAGTGGACCACTGGGACTACCCTTCCCAGTGCAGTGACCCAATGCAGTGATGGAGGACACCGCTGGGCACTATGGTGGGGAGTGACAGACAGACGTTAGGGGTGCATTTGCCCGCAGTCTTTGGAGGGTTCTCGGATCTTAACCACAACGATGGCTGCCACCAGTGAACACCTCCCATGAGCTACTTCCTCAGGGGGAGCGGAATATCTGTACAGTTCCACGGGCTCGGTTGTCACTTACGAGTGAGTGCTGTGATATTGCGGACCTCTTTTTGTTGGATTTTATTCCATTTGGAATCCCCTCCAGCTCCGTACCCTGTCTGTGTTTCTGTCCGGACTCCTGACCCTGCCACGTTTCGACTGGGCCTTTGGATTCTGCTAGTGCTTCTGCCTACCGACTCGGCTCGTTGTCGGACCTGGGCTCTGGGTTCGCTCGGTGCTCTGCGGCAGTGTCTTGTCAGTTCCAGACTTTGCTCGGTCCCCGTCTAAGGCTCTGCACTGTGATTGCCTGCACCACGCTTGCCTGTTTCCTGTGCCTCCTGCACACACCAGGATGCCAGTTTTGCCTGCCTCTGCCTCTCTCGCCTGCACTTGGGTTCAACTTGCGACCAACTTCACCTCAGCGTAAGCAGCGGGTGTCACACTTGACCATTAAAGATCAAATGACACCGTTCGGAAGATTCGAATCCTTAATCCTGTTGCCCTGATAAAATTCTACACGTGATTTGCCCCATCCTACTTAATGCAAGTTCCCCTTCATTTCAGCTCAGGCGTATAGGTGGGCTGCTGGCACAGAACGGCTACAGAGGGTCCTCTCCTGTATGCAAAAGTGTTTGATCCTTCGAGGTGAAGAGCACTTTTCAAATCCACCTCGCTTGCATGCCCATGTACACAGGTGGGTAGATCTGTAATATGCTAAGATCCATCTTAAACAAAAGCTGCCTTGTGGCATGCATTTATCTCATAATGAAGACCCTCCTCGTACACAGGGAGGTCTGGTCTGGTGTCTCATCTGCAGCCTACAGTAGTTTCACCTTGTTCCCTACGCTTCTGGGATAGTCTCTGGATTGCCAAAACAGGGATAAGAGGCTTTCGGATAAAGGATGGGTGGAATATAAATATCCATCCCATCTTCAGTCTGCTTCTCCTGAAGAGACTCATGGGAAAATATAACAGGATTTCTTACATTTTCTTGTTTTCCAAAGGCTACTTCACCTCACTGCTCATTCTCACATTCTGCACCACCCTGCACATTTAGTAGTGCCTACATACAGAGTCATTACACTTGCATTCACAGGTACACCTTCGGCTATAGAACGTCTTCGCATGTGGACTGTGTGAAATGTTGACGCATTACTCTGTGCTAAAGATACGTCCATGACTTGTACTGCACATGAGAAGCACCGGTCTTTGTGAATAAGAGCCTCTGAATATGACTTCTACGCATCTGTCTTCTGCAGCTGTGTACTAAATCTTTGTGAATAAGACCTTTAAATAAATCCGGTAACATTAATCAGTTCTCAGTGAGTATTACAGCATTACCGCTTATATAAACTGCATTGATTATATGCAGGTCTTAAATCCAGCATTACTGTACTACACTGAAGAAAGTATTTCTCTCTGGTGTTTTATTTCCACAAGCCATTTTTATGTAGAAAAATGGTTTATCTTAACCTCTCTTTATATACATAGTATAACTATGAATTTAAAATAAAAATATGTAATTTTTTGGTACATAACCAATATACCAAACACTTTACCGTTATAAAATGTTCTATATTACAAATGTATTGCTACAATTACCTCAACATCTTCATATTTACTAAACCTTGTCTTTACATTTTTGCAAAAAAAACAAAGAACAAAAGGGGAAAACCCGCCTGAAAAAAAAGCCCCCAATCCCAAGCAAGCCCAAAAAAAAAAAATTCCCAAAAAAGCTTTGAATTCTTGTTAACACTTACCTCATCATCGGGCTGTAAATGCTGTTTGGAAAATTCAAGCAGGTTTAGCTGCATGGTGGTCTGATTGAAATATCGAACCGCCTCCTGAAAATTACAGAGGAGAAAAAGGAGAGAATTGATGGTTTTTGAAATGTCTTGTCTCGGTTTGCGTTGCACTTTGATATGAATCGTCTTAAAAAAAGCAGAGAGTCTCAAATGCCACACTTATTTCATAGAGCAAGTGAGGTTAACGTCCTTATGGACTTTTCATGTCTGCTAGAAGTAAAACAAGTCTGTGCACGAAGGTGCAGAGCCTCTGAGAGCCTTTTGAAGTGCTGCTTTAGCTTCCTGACCACTGAACCATACAACAATAAACCCTTGCAGGCACTGCAGAGCAAAAGTTAAGATAAGGGGACAGCATCAGTAAAACAGACTTCATTCAAACCAGAACATGTCCCCTCACTGGCAGAAGTGTAGGTTTTTAGACAATCAGAACATTTCTTTCCCTATTCCCACTGCAGGGCAGCCCATACATTGGTGGACCAAAGTGGTTATTTGGAATGTTTTCTGTGCAGTTGCTGCTGTAATGTCACGCACAAGCCTTGGTGGTCTTTTGACAACTATCATTGGCTATCCCTCGGGATCAAATGGCTTCCAGTAAGTGAGTTGACTGATAAACCCTCTGGCAGGTGCTGCAGGTTGTGTGAGGAGATGTCAGACATACAGTAGATTAGTCTCTTTGACACCTTACTTTCTTGTCAGGGTCACAAACTGCTGGGTTCCTTCCCAGATATTCTTCATCCACTTGGTGCTTTCAAGGGCCATTATCTCCCGGGAGTCGGTGATGTTATTGCACGTCTTCAGATTTGCTTTGACCATCTTTAACGGGCTCCGCTCGTCCTAGTCTCAAGAACAGAATCTTCTTGGGAAACCTGCAGTGTGACATCCAGACGATGCAGCCATCCCAGCGGGCAGGATCTTTTGCCTGTTTTTCTGTCGAAACAGCGCGTCGGTGATGATTTCGGAGAAGGAGAAGGATGCTGTTCGAGCCGAAATTTCAAACTCCTTCGTTGCCAATGTTTTTGATCAACTCACTGGCGTCTCTTCTAACTCTGGCATTGCAGTCTCCAAGTTCAAAAGAGTCCGGCGGTCTTCAGGGCTTCACAAAGAATTTGGCTGAGCTCGGGGTGGAAAGCTTTCTTGTTTCACTGTCTTTTTCTTCCGGCACAGGCATTCGCAAAAATCATTAAGGCATATCGGTTCCCTGCCAATTCGAGATGAAGAGTCTTTGATTCCAACAGGGAACGCAAGGAAGGTGACAGACGATTAAATTCTTGACGGCAAATCAAACTCCATAAATCTGGATTTTTTCCCCGGATTTAACTTTCCAAGGAAAGTACTGCCAGGTCGACTGCCATTGTCCAGCTCTTCGGGTTTCACTCAGAGTGGAGATGTCAGCATCGTATCTCCAGAATTCTCATACGCAGGGCTGGTTCTGGACAATCCATAAAAACTTTCCAGGTCCCAGATTATTAGAATCTTTCTGGGGTTTGTTTGTTTTTTTTGATCACACAGAAATGATGCCCCTATGTTATCACAACGAACAGCCTCGGTTTCCAATAAAAGTTCCCCAAAAAAAAGTCCAAAGGGTAGGGATTTTAAAGACTCCCATGGAAAAACACACTTCATCCGGAAACAGAATACTGCTGTCTATCACTAAATACAGAAAAAGATTCCTCAGATAGATTCCCCAAAACCACACCTCGATTTAACTCGTTTAATTTCTTGACTTAATTTAAGTCATCCTAAACCGCTCCCAACTATGGTGAATGAAGCCAGCAAAATCAATACACCCAGTACAAAACGATTTCCATAGTGCTGGAGATTAAAATCAGAAACTTACAGCTCTGGGCTGGAAATCCTCCTCTGTGAGGTCCCATTTGTCTTTGTGATACCGATAGTAAACCACGTTGCTCTTCATCACTTCATCGTTGGGATCAAACAGCATGTAGCTCGCCACACAAGGCACGGCATTCTTCACATCATTTACTGCCCGGCAAAAAACACACAGGAGAAGATCTGGCTTAAAAGCGCTAAGCTGTTTTAAACATTTGTGGTTTTGAATTATTATACCTCTGCTGTTATAATATAAAGCACAGTGCTTTACAAATCTTGCTGATCTGAATCAAGACGTGTGAAAACAAGCTCACCAATCAGCAAAGAAAGAAATGCATACTTTTGAAAACCCTACGCACAATCTGTCCAGCACTTACGTTTGTAATAGGCAAACTGTAGGTAATGATACATCGTCGCCACAAACTTCTCTACAACAAAGCCGCCAACCACTGGAGTGAGCTGACTCTCACACTTCACTTTGCACTCCAGGACCTCTGTGTAATGGTCTGCAATCACAAAAGAGGAAACAAATCCCCCCCAAAAAGGTTATACTGTACACAAGCACAACAAAGCAATGTACAGTATCCAGAAAGGGTTCAAAAGTTAGTTTTGAGCTTTACCTGAGTTAAGGATCAAAACTTGTAAAATCTCCTGTAGCACAGCCTTAAAGAAACTAACTCCCCACATAAATATTCAGATGCTGGTGTTTGGTGTCATTAAAATACCTACAATTAACAAAATCTCGCTTGGATTAAATGTGAATTCCCTGTCTCAAGTTTCTTAGTTTTCGAAAAGCGGGGAATCCATTAAAGATTCTCACTAAACAAAATCAAATTTTAACATCAGTTAACATAACATAACAGATAAGAACTGTCAAATCACAATTAATGAGTCTGGATCCCCTTAAGGAAAAACGAACCAGTGGACTATTGAAGATACAGTATCTGAGCCACCTGCTATAGAGGGATAGAAATCCTTGAAGTCCCTGATCTCCCTCGATCCCTCGCAGGCCGCCAGACACTCGTCGTAGGTTTTGAAGAAGTTGGTCAAAGCCAGTTCCATGTCCGACACCGAGGTCCGGAAGTTATCGCCATTGTAGGCTCGCACTGATCTGATGAACAGCGCCTGCAACAAAACGACACTGCCTTAGCTCGCCAGCAGCTTCATTTGAAACTGAGGGAGAGGGATACTTGCGCCGTGTCAAAATGCAAAAGAGAGCTGTTCTGCTCTAGTCGCTGTGGCAGTGGGAATGACCAGACCCAGCTGAAAGGCAGCCCAGAGTTAAAGGCATCACGCCTGGACTGCTTTTCAGCGCAGACGGCAAATAACACGCCTCTGCCGGCCACAGCATCATCACTGTGGAGATCAGAAACTGCTGGGAGACAGCTTTCTAGGCCAAACAGATCTTTCTACTGCAAAGCATTTGCTGCAGGTGGAAGCCTTCCCTCTTGGCGTTTAGACTCCCACCCAGTAGCTGAGCAATGGTGAGGAGGGTCACTGTGCTGCACGCTCAACGCCATGCCTGCGTCACTCTATCTCTCCAGGAGCCCAAGCGGCGCGCAGAGCTCTTGCCTCGTACGACTTGGTCTCCAGGTCGCGGAGGTGCTCCTCTGCTCCCGGGAGGCTCTTGTAGTAGGCCATGTTCCTCTTCATCATCTCGTCATCCGGGTGCTTCAGCAGGAAGGTGTGGGCTGCCGACACTGCCTTGGCCAGGTTATCGGACTACGCGAGGGACAAGGAAGAACAACTCAGGTCACGTCCCCCGGAAAAGACACACACTGCCGCCTGGGTCATACAGTATTCGTGACCAGGTTTGACCACACTGTAATAATCAGCCATTAAGAATAGATAATGATTATTAATAATAAGTGGGAATCATTCATATTACGTATTACTAGCACAGCGAATGAGGCATGGTGGTGTGTAGTAGTTTGTGTTGCTGCTTCACAGTGCTGGGGCCCTGGGTTCAGCTCCGGGCTGTGTTGAGTTTGTATGTTCTCCCTGTGGCTTTCCTCTGGACGCTCCAGTTTTCTCCCACAGTCCATCAGACATCTTGGTAGGTTAACTGGCTTCTGAGAAACCTGGATCTGGTGGGTGTGTGTGTGTGTGTGTTTATGCCTGTGTCATGGACTGGAATTTTAAATCCGTTAAATTCCAAGAGGAAATATATCTATTATTACCAAACATTTATGACTATTGTTTTTTTTAAATATATTTTAGTCGTTACGATGTGCAGCATACACCTTGCTTGTTTATGAAGAGGAATGTGACATCTCTGCACATTAAAGAAGGGGAAAAAACACACGGTAAGTTCATAACTTGCTTGACCAAAAGCATGTGCGGGGTTAAAGATCAATTTACATGCGTGGCCGATTTTTTACATGACGCGACACCCACAGAATACCTTTGGATCAATGGAGACAGCGGATTTTTTTTTTACCGACCGACGAAAGGTAGCGACTGCTGGAGACAGCCATCCGTACGTGGCAAGGAGAAGCCACGCCAAGAGTAAGCGAAGACCTCCAAGTGAGAGAGTGACTGGATATCTGAGAAAAGTGAGTGCTGGATATAAAACTGTAATCCTTTATCGATTCTAAAATTATGCTCAGTAAGGACCGCGACAACAGAGAGCATTCGTAGGTGAAAAGATTAGCAGTGGAGCTGCAGAGATTACGGTAGCAACTCTTTCCCCTACAAGGGGAACCGACTCGTATTTAATGTTCGAGGTCTTTCACATTAGCAAATACCAGGAAACGTTCTGGTCGATTATAACCATTACAGGTTGTATTCTTACTTTGAAGCAGGCGTACTGGAGGTATTTGTACGGTTCTCGGTTCTCAAACTCATCCACGGTGTCTCGGCTGGGCATGGTCTGTCTGAAAGCCGGCAGCCCCTGCTTGCATCTCTTCAGGCACTGCGCCCGTTTCATAATGTTTCCGAAGACGCGCAGCTCGGGAAAATCCCCAAACTTCTCCTCATTATCAAGCCGGACGGTGCTGCAGTTCAGGTTGCAGAAAGCTTCGCTGTCTTTCAGCAGTCGGTAGAGCCGCAGGCTGACTTCCAGGTACTCCACGCTTTCTTTCCAGTTCTCCCCCGTGTACTGATCCAGCGCGTACTTGTACGCCGAGTCCAGGGGCATCAGTTCGTGCCTTGGGAAACTTCGGAAACTGTATTTCTCGTATTGCGCCTCAACAGCCCGGGAAAGGCTAAACAGAAGAAAGGCAAAAGTGAACAGGGAGCGAGCTGCCATTTCAGCTACTGTGTCGAGGAGGTTTCAGGGATAACTTAGCCTGCCTCCGCAACCCCCACTGCGCATTCAAATCACAGCCCACTTTGGCTGCTATGGTCGGGTCACGCAAGATGGAGGGCTGGGCGAAACCGTGACTGGCATCCCCTCTGTGCTATGGGGTGGGACGCGGGGATAAAGATCGTTTTCCAATAGGAGTCCAACAGCAAGAGAAAGTTCACGAAGTTTGGTTGTGAGAAAACGGGGTACGTGGGGTTTCTTCGGGCGTTACTAATTCAAAGGGAACGGGAGCAACTCGGAGGCTGAAGAACAACACCACCACCTTCCTTTTGGGAAAATGATTAGTGACTTTAAAATCGTCCACACCTTGTCTTGTGGACTACAGCTCAGCCTGTGAGTTTTAGGCAGCTGGTAGATACGCCAAGACATTGAAAGACGGCTGCAAAGATGCACGGAGCAGCAGTCGAGGAGGGCTACGTTTTTCGGATGTTATCACATTATTGTCGTGTTGTTATCAAATAAAACTACTGGCCCGTCCGAGCTACTTGGTGAGAAAAAAATAAAGCACTCGGGTATTCGATAAATTCGCCAAATTGTGTCGCGACATGGAAAGGTTTCGTTACCACTAATTCAACCAACCCCACATTTTTAGGACGTGGCGCAAAGACCCCCCCCACAAAACCTACTGTACTTCATCCAGTGCAGTTTGAGCGCTGGAGACTTTCCTTCTCTGTCAGTCAATCCAAAAACTAGACCCTGCTGAGTTATGTTTGTTTAATGCCTTTAAAGATTTTATTTTCCCAAGCAGAACTTGGCAGGGCAGACAGCTTCGGATTTCGGTGTGTATGTATTGGTATTTGTGAAGGTAAAATATTGCACACACGCTGTAGAATGTTATTACTTAGGGAAAATTAATTAGGGAAATTATTAATTAGGGAAAATTATAATGCAAAATGTTTATATTAAGAATATAAAACTAATATAATTAGTATTATATAATGAAGATTAATATAATTAAGAATATAATGTAATCCCATAAAAGATTAATACAGAAGACCCTATATGAAGGGAGAATTTCGGCACATTGACCAAGATCTATGTTGGAATTCAAGTCTACATAATATATGCTGTTACGTTTTGTGCACCTATTTTAGTGTTTTTAGAGTTAGTGACAGAAATTATACTAAAATATTATATTTCAAAGAGTAACAAACTTCTGTAGTAACAAACTACGATTAGTAGGCAGTGACATTTCTAAAACAAAATAGCGGAATAAGTGGTTTATAAAGTCTACTTTTTAATTAAAGTGTTTTTTTATATATATATACAGTTGTAGATCTCTGTAGTTTGCTATATTTAGTGCTCTATCGTAGCCAAGTCTTAATACACGCAAATTGTTGAAAAAAATAGCCCCAAACCGCAGAAAATGTGAAAAAAAACAGTGCCACGTAGGTGGAAGCCCACGCCTTGGCCTTTTTTGAGGGGTCCTTGTATCACATTCCCATTTTTCCAGTTTCCCGAACCCATTTATCCTCTTATAAAACTAAAAATAACTAAGGTGGACTGTAACCGGAGGAGAACGCCTTCGAATTCGTGACGACCTGGCAGATGGACCACGAAGCGGCCATCCATCTTGACTCGGATGAAATTCAGAAACATGTTCGTGCAGATTTCCGGCCAGAGGAGATGCTGGGCCGGTGCTACACGTTTACAAATCTCTGAAGGGGGGGGAGGGAGGTTGCGTTTCATTCAGTTCTGCGCTTTCGCTCCCAAACCGAGAGAGGCAGGAGCTACCGGGACAACAGGAGGAGCTGTGTGGAGCCACGGGGAGAGTGCTTATCCGAGGACTGATAGAGCCACATAACGGTCCTAATTCACCTAGACCTAGCTAACACCTTTTTAACTAAAGAAAGAGAAAATGAGTTACGGGTTGCAGTCAATGTTTTTTCTAGCGCTTTTGATTGCTTTCGCCGCTTGCAACGCGCCGCCCGTTCCCTTGGACGACGTCGTGATCGAGAAAACTTTCGTGCCGGACGAGTGCGTTCGGGCTGTTAAACCGGGGGACTTCGTGAGGTATCACTACCACGGCACTTTCCCCGACAACAAGAAGTTTGATTCCAGGTGAGGAGGGGCTGGGGCTGGGGCTTGTTGTTACTCTGCGGTCCCATGTATTGGTGTGCGTCTCGGGACACCGTGCCTGTTTTTCATTAGCAGCAACTTGCAGAGTAGCTGGAAGTGGCCACGCAAGCAACAACGTTTCGCCTGCGCTCTGAGGGGATGCCGGCGCCCGCAGTCCTTTTGCCGAGGAGAGCAGCTCTTTAAAATAAAGGGATCTTTCAAATGAGCATGTTTCAAAAAATGTTTCCGGCTCAACACACATTTCCAACAAAAATGTACGGCGTGCGTTCTGCATTTTGTAAAGATCTGAAAGGCTAGCAGAATTAGGAATTTGCCTAGTGAAGAATATAAAAACGTATGCAAAACATCGTTTTTTAAAAAAAACATATGTATACCAGAGTAATGTATTGCAAATCATTATACTTAAAACCGTAGCTTTTTCTTTCAACAAACTTCATATCCCGAGGCTAAAGATGTTCTTGGATACGCATCCGGGTTAGCGCAGTCTCATATTCCCTCTAACTCCTGTAGCTCTGATTGCCAAGTGAGCTGCGTGATGACGCTTTTCCTCACTCGGACCACACTCTTAATAATTGCTTCAATACTGCAGCTGCTTCATCGACGAGCGCAGGTTTTTGTCAATAAGTGAAAATAACCCATTTTGTTCCTGAAACACATTCGCCAACCGGAGTGCACTTTTTTTTTTTTCCTTTGTGGCGTTTTCTTTTCTGCTCTCTTCTAACAAGCAGTTGTGAAAGCGCAGATAGCCGTACTTCCCAGTAATTTGGACCCCCCCCAGGATAGGGGGTGGCAGTAGACTGCCACTTGGGAGGTTCAAGATGAGTCATGAATTCGATGGTTTTTAAAGCTTATAAACCCCGCAGGCTTTTGTACCAGCTCTTTGAAGAGTGAAACGGCTGGTTACCGGCTTAATTGAGCCGGTTTTCACAGCTGTTCCAAGCTCTTCGGGTTTACCGTGACTGTACACTGGCCTTGAAACTCTGCAGACAGACACACCGCCCCCCCACATTAAACATGTGGCACAAGGATTGGCCAGCTGTGCTCCTAGCGAATTACAGGCTGTTGGTATTTTCACGTCCATTCTCCAAGCTCCTCTGATCGGACAATTACGCGGACTCTTATGTGTCCCCCCCCCCTGCAGTAAGTGATCAATCGGAGACCGACGTGGTCCAGATTCCTCTCGGATGTTAGCTGGGTGACCTAGACCACCGTTGAGATTGTGGCTCTCCAGGACCAGGGCTGGGCACTGCTTGTTAACGTGTCGACTAAATCTGAAGTTTTTTTTAAAAAAAAGTCGGAGCGGGAGGAATTTCTTCTAGTTTGCGTGTGACACTTGCCTCTCTCCTGCAGCTACGACAGGGGCTCGACCTATAACGTGTATGTGGGGAAGAAGCAGCTCATCGAGGGGATGGACAAGGGCCTGGTCGGAGCGTGTGTGAACGAGAGACGGCTCATTAAAATCCCTCCACAGATGGCCTATGGGAAGGAAGGCTATGGTAACGTCCGCCTTACATTCTCCATGACGATTTTTCTGCCCCAAACCAAAGATATTTTGAAATGATTATTATTGTTATTACAAATGGGGGTGGGGTTACAAAAATGGTGGAAATCAGGAATCGACTGGGTGGTGAGATAATTACTCACAACCCCTGACTTTTCAGTGATTTCTCTGGAACATACCCGAGGGGTCGGTATAATTAGAGCCATGTGAATTATTTATTCTCTGGTATAGCTTGCGTGAGCAGAGTAATAATTCAGGCAGAATGGGTCCAACAAATGTTCATTAACAATGACGAAACTAACACTACACTTCACACAAAAAAACATACAACTCACAAGTTACCATACAGTGCGGGGGCTCTGTGGCTAAGGATCTGTGCCTGTGGCTGGAAGGTTGCTGGTTCGTATCCCGTGGGCCCCTGAGCAAGGCCCCTAACCCCAACTGCTCCAGGGGTGCCATATAAATGCGCTCTGACCCCCAGCTTCTCTCCCTGTCTGTGTGTTTCATGGAGAGCAAGCTGGGGTATGCAAAAAGACAAATTCCTAATACAAGAAATTGGGCCAATAAAGTGATCTTATCTTATTTACGGTATGTACAGACAGGGCGTTTCAGAGGAATAACATCATCGTCACACAGAAAACAAAATAAGAGATAAGCTGCCTTCTAAATAAATGCAATACAACCTGCAGTTACATCTCTCTCCCTGCAAAACCTGGAAGCCACAAATAAAATGGGACCTGTCTCTCTATTCTAAACATGTACCCACAAGCAGGAAAGACTGTCTTTAACCCAGGTATCTTTAATCAAGCGCAGTGTGATGGGGAAGAGGGGAACAAAAGCCTTTGCTATGTCCGCTCTGGGCTGCAGGTTGCAGTTCAGTGGGATGAGCCTGTCCCGAGGCTGCTTGACGCCAGTGCCTGCTGTCACCGTGGTCAGTATGGCTCTGCTAACAAGGAAGAGAAGGACAAGGGTGGCATTTTGGGCAAGGGGGCGGCTCGCTTAACGTTCCTTCCCTTCACGGTGAACACGTTTCACTTGAACTCCCACTCGCTCTGCCAGCACTGCCTGCTGGGAAACCTCCGAGGCCGCCGCCGGAGTTAACGCACGTGAAAGGGGAATTAGTCTCCCAGAAGGCCTTGCAAATGGCCGGGATTTGTCGGGGTGATTTTATTCCCCTGGCCAGCGGGAGTCTCTTCGTCCCCCCTGAGTAGTAAAAAGCAGCACATCTTCAGAGTCTGAGTGAAATTACAGACTGGCTCGGGCTGCCGCGGGTGGGGTTTGCCGGCAAGAGACAGTCTGAGGGAGGGGGGGCTGCAGGAGACCTGGAATGCCGGAGCTGGTGGTGCGTGTTCGGACTGGCCTGGCCGGGAGGGGGAGGGGAGAGGTGGGGAAGACGGGGGTGCTGGGATCCGGCCCTAACTCCTCACCTGCAGGGCTACAGCTCGAAACCGCCTTCCTCTGCGGGTCGGACAGAGGGCAAATGAGCAGAATTGATTGACGCTCATCCCCCCTCAAAAAGGGAAAACTGATCAGAGAGCACAGCAGATGCAGATACTGTACATCTCTTTTCACTCTTTAACCAAGCGACTGGAGTGTTTAGGTTTGCGCCTGGGTCCGATACGCATAATGTAGCTGTTTTGGGACGTGTGAGATGCATTCTTGTAGGGGGATTCAGGATCACAATGCAGAGGGAGGATAATACACTGAACAGGACACGTGGTTTATTAGCGAATGTATTTTTTATTCCTTTTGCAAATCATCCTGCCTTGGGTAAAAAGAGAAAAGCGTGCATTCATTCAAGCTGGAACGGAAAGACAGCACAAGAAATGAGAGGAAAAAAGACGCATTTGTTACTTTCCCGTTCCCGGTGCGAACAGTGCTTTCAGGAATTCCAGTTTGCCGCAATACTATGTTTTAAAACTGAGTTATGTCAAAGAAGCTTCTGCGAAATATAATGGGAACTTTCAGCAATGCTAAAGACCTGAGAGGAGCTGAGGAAAGGATCGGGAATCCGGCTGATCTTTTGTCCTGTGCCTCGTGCTGCACCGACAGGTGATGTCATCCCTCCTGACTCCATCCTCCACTTTGACGTGCTGATGGTGGACATCTGGAACCCCGAGGACAAAATCCAGATCCAGACCTACTACAAGCCCGAGAACTGCAGCCGCACCGTCCAGGTGTCCGACTTCGTGCGATACCATTACAATGGGACTTTACTGGACGGCACCTTGTTTGACTCCAGGTGAGACAATCTCCTGTGTGCACCACAGACACTTCACTGCACTTACTCTTTAGGTCTGTTTCCTTTATTACCAGCGTAATACAAATAATCCTCCTGTTTTGAACTTTTAGAGCTCAGAGGCCTAGATCTCACGTGAGCGCTCCTTTTCCCATGTATATACACAAGGTAGATGCTGTATAAACTGTATACATTTCTGGATTCGTTTTTTACTTTTTAAAATCTTTTAAAGTTTTTTTTTTTTACCCTCCCAATTGCCAGTTGTGTATTTACGTCCAATCCCGGCACAGGCAGGGCTGGTAAGCGCAGGCAGTGAGCCGCTGACGTCATAGCATCGGGGTCGTTTCTTCACTAGGAGCTGACTGACCTCTGGCCAGAATTAGTACTGATTCAGCTGCTGGGGGTGCCCTGGTGTCAGCCGCCCGACGACATTACCCCGAGCACCTTTACCAATTTCTTAACTCATAACCTTATGAGATTCTTTTAGATTTCTATTTTCCCTCAGGCTTACTTTCACCCTGGCGACACGCTTCTTTCACAGGGTGGGTGCTCCGTTTCCTTAAAAACGTGACCCTGAAAAAAGTCCGTCTTCGTGCGTTTTAAGCGGCCAGTTTTTTTTAATCCTTCTGTGTCTCCCTGCTGTATCTCCCCTTCTCTGTTCTCTCCAGCCACACCCGTCTGCACACGTACGACACCTACGTTGGAATTGGTTGGCTGATCGCTGGCATGGACCAGGGGCTGCTGGGAATGTGCGTGGGGGAGAAACGCGTCATCACGGTGCCGCCCTTCCTCGGTTACGGCGAGAACGGAGACGGTAGGTCCGGAAGACGAGTCCGCGGGGGGGGAACGAGCATGACTTTGATTTCAAGAGCCCGTTTTTACCCCGTTTTAGGCGATCTGTCAGCAATGGCTCCTTCCAAACGCCGACCCGCTCCGGCTGGAGTTCTCGTTTCTGAGTTCCCTCTCCCCCTGTCTCCTCAGGCAGTGACATTCCCGGGCAGGCCTCTCTCGTTTTCGATGTTGTCCTGCTGGACTTCCACAACCCTAAAGACAGCATCGCCGTGGAGAATCAGGTCGTTCCGGAGTCCTGCCCGAGGAAGAGCAAATCCGGGGACTTCATGAGATACCATTACAACGGCACTCTGCTGGACGGGACCCTCTTCGATTCCAGGTAAACCGAGGATTTTGGGATCCCAGCCCGCAAATTTGATTTCAGGCCTTACCCGAAATTGGCTATCTGTTCCGATCGATAGGAATGGCAAATAAAACTGAGCTAACAAGCTCCCAAGATCACAGAGCAGGTGGCACACCTAGCTCATCTGGCACGGGGCGTGACGTCTCCTCGGGCACTCATCCTTATTTCACGACAGCGTTAGGGCATTTTGGAAAAACAAATCGGGACCGTCGATGTGCAGATGACGACTGTCCGTGGCCCGGCTGTTAGCTTACCGCAGCAAAAAAAATCTCCTTTCCCCATTAGCTATTCCCGGAACCGCACCTACGACACCTACATCGGGAAGGGCTACGTCATCGCCGGCATGGACGAGGGCTTGCTGGGAGTGTGTATTGGGGAGAGAAGGAGGATCATTATCCCGCCTCACCTGGCCTACGGTGAGGAGGGCACAGGTAAGGCCCCATCGTGTGGAAACGTGCCTGAGAACAGAGCCTGAGTGGGCCTGAAATAATCATGCTCTCGTATAATATGACCCAAAAAAACTTGAAACACGGCGCATGCTGGTAACTCCCTTGCCTTAGGTTTAGCGAAAATTTGACCACACACAGGTGCTCCCAGTTGTCTGGAAATGGCCATGATTTGAGTTTCTACAGCTCCGTTTAGAAGGCAGCTTTTTGCCCAATTTCCCGACGGAAAGAAAACAAAGTGCTTTCATGAAATGCACTGACAGTGGGGGGGTTCACATAATGACACTGATACTCTGACATGTACTAACTAAATTACGTGCAAAGATAGGGTGTAGACCTTAATAAGCACAGAAGAAACGTAAGATAAAAAGTATTAGCTACTGGACCTTTCTTCTTTGTAATGTTTAGGTACCAAGATTCCTGGTTCAGCTGTGCTGGTCTTTGACGTTCATATAATCGACTTCCACAACCCGTCGGACTCGGTGGAGATCAAAACCCTCTTCAAACCTGATGACTGCAAAGTGCAGAGCAAGAAAGGAGACTTCGTCAAGTACCACTACAACGCCTCTCTGATGGACGGGACCTTCATCGACTCCACGTGAGTGCGGAGGGCAGAGGACTGGGACTCTCCGGAAGGGGAACACCAAGGCTACTTTTGTATTTCGGGGTCAGAAATAGTCAGCACTGACGAGCGCATTTCAAGCCACAGTGAAAGTAAAATGTACGCAGCAACATGTAAAACCAATCCAATTTACATCACGGAGTAGACAAAACTTCCGGGTATGCCCAGCGCCATGTTCTGCGATTCAGAACGAGCCAACGAAACATCTGGTGAGGCGAAGTGGCCCTATTACGTTGTAAACAGGCAGGCTTGTGAATACATCATCTTTTACTAGAAATACTGCTCTCGACTTTGCGACGGTTTTGCCGACAAATGCTACTTGTTAACGCTGCATGTAGACCACGTTGGAACATTTCTGCGCTGAAACGTCCGCTGTACAATCTGTACTTATTTGGTTGCACAGCGCTTTACATTAATCATCACAGTGACTAGTGAGCAGGAAGGGCCGCTTCACACCGCAATTCTTTCGCACTTTCGCTCCTGCCCGTGAGGAGACCAAAGGTTAGCGACAACATGGCGACTTACGGTACTTTCACAAAATTACTGATTTTATGCATGATTCGGAACGTGTGAAATTTTTCTATACCGTCAATGGTTTTATTTTGTTACCAGGATTCAATAACTGTTCTGAGACACTGGCACCGCAGTTTCCCTTTAATCGGATCATCGGGCACAGTCTGGCGAAATGTGCTTTGCTTTTTAAAGATAAACTCTGCCTTCGCCTGTTTCCCGTCTTCCTGCCTGTATGCTTTTCAAGAGAGCGGCTGTCTTTTTGTGTTTTCTGTCCTTGCCTCTGGGGTGGAAACCTGACTTCGTAACTCATTTTTGGTGGCAGACACAGCTATGGGAAAACGTACAACGTGGTGCTGGGCTCTGGGCAGGTGGTCCTGGGAATGGAAATGGGCCTGGAGGACATGTGCGTGGGAGAGAAACGGACCCTCGTCATCCCCCCACACCTGGGCTACGGGGAGAGAGGAGTTGGTGAGATCTCTCATCTTCAGTCCCAAACAGCTACAACAACAGCAATAGTAATAATAGTGAAAGTAATCGTAATAGTAGTAATAATAGTGAATGTCATGGTAATAATAATATCTTACACTTATACTTAAACCGTGCTTTTCTGGACACTCCACTCATAGCGCTTTACAGGTAATGGGGATCCCCTCCACCACCACCAGTGTGCAGCCCCACCTGGATGATGTGACAGCAGCCAGAGTGCACCAGTACTCTCCCTACACATCAGCTATTAGTGGGGAGGAGAGCAGTTCAGAGATGGAGATTAATAGGAGGCCATGATTGGTAAAGATCAGGGGGAAATTTGGACAGGACACCAGGGTAACCCTCCTACTCATTTCGAGAAACGCCCTGGGATTTTTGACCATGGAGAGTCAAAACGTCTAAGACGAAGGACGGCGCCTTTTTACAGTATAGTGTCCCCGTCACTATACTGGGGCATTAGGACCTGCACAGACTGCAGGGTGAGCGCCCCCTGCTGGCCCCGCTAACACCTCTTCCAGCAGTAGCCTTAGCTTTCCCAGGAGGTCTCCCATCCAGGGACTGGCCCAGGCTCACACCTGGTTTGCTCCAGTGTAGGGAGATACAGTCTATAAACCTGACACTCCAGATTCCTTTTTTTTAAGGGTACAGTGCTGGATACCAGCAGATCTGTTGTGTGGTACAGACTGCTGTGGAGCACAGCTAACATGTTGGAGGGTTGAACTGGCTTGTGTGGCATGGCTGCCATGGTGACTGATGTGCTGGCCTGTGTTGTGCCTGTGCAGAAGGAGAGGTGCCGGGCAGCGCGGTGCTCGTGTTCGACATCGAGATGGTGGATATGGAGGAGGGGCTGCCGGAGGGCTACATGTTTATCTGGAACAGCGAGGTGTCGGACGATCTCTTCACCGAGATGGACAAGAACAAGGATGGACACGTGGACTCTACTGAGGTGGGTGCCGTCAGTGTAGGAGCAGACAGATGCATATTAGCCAAACATTTCCTGTTTTGAGTTGAGTTCGAAATTAGAAGGTTTTCGTATTTTTTTCCAGCACAAGAATAAGAATAATAATTGCTTACATTTATATAGCGCTTTTCTGGACACTCCACTCAAAGCGGTGAACAGGTAATGGGGATCCCCTCCACCACCACCAGTGTGCAGCCCCACCTGGATGATGCGACGGCAGCCATAGTGCGCCAGAACGCTCCCCACACATCAGCTATCAGTGGGGAGGAGAGCAGAGTAATGAAGCCAATTCATAGAGGGGGATTATTAGGAGGCCATGATTGGTAAGGGCCAATGGGAAATGTGGCCAGGACGCCGGGGTTACACCCCTACTCTTTTCGAGAAACACCCTGGGATTTTTAATGACCACAGAGAGACGGAACCTCGGTTTTACGTCTCATCCGAAGGACGGCGCCTGTTTACAGTCTAGTGTCCCCGTCACCATACTGGGGCATTAGGACCCACATGGACCGCAGGGTGAGCGACCTTAGTTTTTCCCAGGAGGTCTCCCATCCAGGTACTGACCAGTGAGTGTGAGTGTGTGCGTGTCAGTGTTGGTCTCTCTGCCCTGCGAGGGACTGGCGTCCCGTCAGCTGGAATACGCTCTGTCTGCCCCGTGACCTTGACTTGGACGGAGAGGGTAGAAAACGGTTGGGCGGACGGAAAAGGCTGTTGTCCCTCAGGGCCCCGGGGCCCCGGGGCCACGAGTAAGGGCCACGTTTTCCGCTGCTGGACTGACACGACCGCTCTGTTTCCCCGGCAGTTCTCGGACTACATCCACCGCCAGGTGTCGACGGGCAAAGGGAGGCTGGCGCCGGGCTACGACGCGTACAGGATAATCGACAACATGTTCTCCAACCAGGACCGCAACGGCGACGGCAAGATCACAGCAGAGGAATTCAAGCTGAAGGACCAGGAGACCAAAGAGCACGACGAGCTGTAGCCGGACGTCAGGCAACAGGCACGGGGGCGAAGGGAAAGCCTGATGCAGGGTCTCAAGAACATTTCCCTATCTTTTTAAAAAAATCATTTTTCAGTTTCAGATATTTCAGCAGGGATTCCAAAGTCCGGTTCAGTTTTGCTTTTGGTTGTGCGATTGGTTTTCTTTGAGGGGTTTGGGGTGGAATGATGGGGGGTGGAATGATAGGAGTGAACAGCTCTCTGAATTGATCACAAAGGTCTTCTACTGATGTTCGCACAAGGCTTTGTCAAGATCAATGGATTAAGTAGGAAATACATCGGGTTTTTTTTTTTTTTTTTCAGGTCATGCAAGCTCTTGACAATTTAAATGGAAAATAATTCAAGCAAGCCCACCTGTAGACGTGGTGGTTTTAAAGCAACAAGAAAATGTTGGCAAAACAAGACTTGTTGCATTAACGTACGTTAGTCAAAACTTGCAGGAGCGCATACAAATAGCATCGCTGTCAGGTCTATGTCAGCTTTATCATCACTGGCAAACGGGAACTTAAAAGTTCACGCCAGAGATGGAAAAAGCAGAATTTGGTTTCCTACGTGCCAAGGTTTCAGATTCTTCCTCTGGTCTCTTCGCCTGACATGCTCGTAAGTGCTTCGACTACTGGAAGGGGAGGGTTGAGGAGCTCAGCAGCAGCCAGATAAGCAGAAGGCCCACTACTGCCACAGTGGTGCCTGACCAGCATGATGGAGTGGGCGCAGCCCTGTCACAGTGCTGTTGAAGGCCCAGGCTGTGAGGCAGAAGCAGTGATGATGCAGCTCAGAGAACA